AAAAAAGCCGGGCGTGGTGGCACACGCCTTTAATCCCAGCACTCGGGAGGCAGAGCCAGGCGGATCTTTGTGAGTTCGAGGCCAGCCTGGGCTACCAAATGAGTTCCAGGAAAGGCGCAAAGCTACACAGAGAAACCCTGTCTCGAAAAAACCAAAAAAAAAAAAAAATTTATCTTTATTTACTTTTATATGTTTTAATGTTTTGCCCTGTATGTGTTTCTGTTCATCACATGTGTGCCTGATCCCTGTGGAGGTCAGAAGAGGGTATCAGATCCCCTGGAACAGGAGTTACAGGCAGCTATGAGCCACTGTGTAGGTGCTGGGAATTGAACTCGGTCCTCTGCAAGAGCAGCCTGTGCTCTTAAATGCTGAGCCATCTCTCAAGCCCCCAAGTGATAAGAAAATTTGAAAATCTTAATTTAAAAGGTCTTAAATCTTATATCTCCATTAACAACAAAAAACCTCCTTGTTACAAAAGAAAAGAGCCTGTGGAGGAAAAGTCCCCTTTTAACATTTTATTTTGAAATTATTTCAGATGTACACAAAAGTCGTAGAAATAGGCTGTGGTACTCTATCAGAGCCTCCATGTTTTGAGTGTTTTTCAACTGTAAGTTGCAGATAGTATGGCCCATTAATATTTAATATTCCAGTGCATGTTTCCTATATACAGACTCCAAGTAACTGCACAATCGCCGTTAAGATCTGGGAGTTACCGTTGCTCCGATGTTAATGTATAATCCTCAGGTGCTGCTCACCTTTCCCTTTCCTTCTTATACTTTAAATTACATATTACTACCTATTTTTCTAAGTGATAAATAAAACAATGAATCACAAGAGACCTCCATTTTGCTCCCCTCCCCAATCCAAGGCCCTTACCCCGTTATCAAAGTGTGCTTACCTCGCTTTCCAAGTGGCTCTCCTTGACACCCCCCCTTTCTTGTTTCAATCCCAACTATTCAATAATAAAAATAAAACTTCTGGGATCCATTTTTTATAAATGAACAATTATATCAACTGAAAATTGTTTCTTCGCCTCTTTAAAAAAATCTACAATCTGCAAGGCTATCCCTAATTTGGTCACTTTTGTGGTCACTTCTTGTATCTGTCGTAAGTCACTACTGCCTGCCCTTGGTCCATGTGTTTGTGTACTCAATCTTCTGTGATTACCTAGCATGGAGGCTACAGATGTGGAAGGCATCTGCTAAAATCATAAGCCTCCACCAGAAGGCCTGGATGCCACTGGTTCTAAGAATTATCCCCCTAAGCCCAATTCAGTGGCTAAGAAACGTAACTTGATATGCCTTCCAACTTCCTCTAGTGCCAGTGAAGTCCCTCATTACTTAAACATTGAGGGATTTGAAAGGTTGATGCTAAGTTTTCAAATCTCTGTGTCACTGTATCAAATGCTTAATAAAGTGTGGTTCGTTGCTGTCGGTCTGATTTTTATTCTTTGAAAACTGGCACCCTGCAATTTAAGACAAATTCTGTTAAAATTATTTCATTATTCACCCATTTGACAAAAGAAAAAAAAATTACTGTGTACCAAGCACCAAGCAGGTGTTTCAGGTGCCCGGGGAAACCGCAGTTCTTGAAGGTCACACCCATTGTTTTGGAATCTGAATAGACAGGTCTGGCAAGATGCTGCCTCCCAAGTTTGGTCATGTAGTGGCAGACCTGGTGCTCAGAAAGGGAAGGTGGGTACAGAGATACAAAGACAAAGTTTGAACGCCCATTGAAGCAGGGTCCGGGTCACTGGTCATGCTATTTTCTCTACTGTAGAATGTTTGGGAATTTTCTATAATCAAAACAAAAATGTTCTTCTGGTGGATTTACTGTGAGAGATGTTTTCTTTTCAAAGAACTGCAGTTTCCAGTATTTCTAGGCTGGACTCCATTTCCTTGCCCCCAGTGAGGGGAGAAGCTGTCACGACTTAAGTCACAATAAATTTGAAAACTGAGAAATCCATTCTCAAGGGCCTGGAAAAGAATCCCTGCAGTAATCATCTAGCTGGCCGCGAATGACATCAGGAGTTCCTTCCTTCCCTCGGCTGTGTGGCAACAGGGCAGTTTTTGTGACACTGTCACTATCCCTTCCCGATTTGTGATCGGGATTGGATATTCCCGATATTGATGTTCATTTTAGGACCCGTTACTAAGCAATATTTAAGTATTTAATAGGGTCAATAAAGGTGGCAAGTTAACCTAGGTGATGAGAACAGGCATGTTATTTATTTCCACTGTGTGGAAGTTAAAAAATTCAATAGGCTAAAAACATTTTTTTTTTCTAAAAAAATTACTCTCGATTATTTTAATGGGCCAAAGCCTCTCTCCCTTCTACCCTGTGGGCCCCCACTACCTCCGGCATCCTCAGCCTCCTCAGGTCCCAGCCACTCCGCCATCAAAGGCTCCAGCTCCGCAGCCATTTCCCAATGTGGGGCATCTGCGCATGTGCCATAGAAAAATGGAAAACAGCGGCAGGGAAAAGCAGCACGTGCTGCTACAGCCATTGCAGGAAACCAGGGGGTGGGACAACACAAGCTGCTCTGAGCAAGCGCAGAACATCTGCAACGCAACTGATAGTTAGCACGCATGCGCACAACCACAGGGCCATATTGCTGAACAAGGCTGGAAGCAGGGCCGTGGGCTGTTGAGGAGGGTTGTGCGTACAAGCTCTTCAAAGGTTCTTCTTTAGGTTGCTGCTGCAAGCGGCCAACGTCCAGAACAAATGGCAATGGAGTTCTAAGCCCTGTCTCCTTCACAGTTCATAGGTCTCCACTAAAAGGGCCTAACGAAAGCTCTCTCTCAAGTAGAAGCCTTGGAGGATAAGAGCGTCTTCTCAAAGCTGCATCCCGGCCACTGGGTGAAGTCACGTGGCATGTGTTACACAGGTGGACACTGGAGGCAACCTTCTTATTAATGTAAGAAACAGCCTGAATTGGTGGGGCTTGTTTGTTTTTGTAAAGTAGGGGAAAATGATGGAGGAAAAAAAGGACACCAAGGACAGAAGAATGTCTTGTGGGATTCAACTTGAGGCCCTTTCTGTAGTTTTCTTCAAACATCCTTAGGCTGGTTTCAAGCATAGGCTAGCCCTGCATTCCAAATTCTAGAGCCCTTGTGGGTTACGCGCCCTGACCCTGAGGAGAGCCTCAGCCCAGTCTTAGGTCTGCGTGGAAGATGCACACGGCAGCAGCCTGTGCTGCCTAGAAGAGGTTTGGAGGGGACAGCCGGGGACAGAGGGTGTGGTGGCATTCGGGTTAGTTATGGAGGTGAGGCAGAGGAGGCTTTCGACTTTCTTAACTGTGGAGGTGCCTGAGGGGGCTCAGAGCACAACCTGTGCCCCTTCTCCCATTTGTGGGCAAACCCTGAGATCTTGCCCACCTGCCCGGGGAAACGGGGACCAGCCCCACACAGACTTCTACCCACATTTCCAGAGTAGAGACAGAATTTAAAAGCCAGATGTGGTCACTCCAGCAGTCACTCAGAGTCCAGTGAACAAGCCATTGTTGGGGGCCTGCTCCACCGAGGAGGAGGGGGGTGTGGAGTACTTGGGTGGGTAACGGATGAAAAGCCGATCCTCTTCCTTCCTCACCCAGCGCAGGAGCTTCGTCACGACTAAGATGGCACCTGCCTTGGTCACGAGGGGACTGAGGCAAGTATAGAGCTCAAATTTGGAGGTCACCTGTGGAGATGGAGGGGAGATAGTCAGATGGGCTAGAGCTGGCCATGAGCAATCCTGTGCTCCCCAACCTTGTGTGCTCCTGAAGCTTGGAGACATGCTTAGCAGCAACTGAATGTGGCTTGCTAGGCTAAGACAGGCAATCTGGGATTATCCTGTCAAGGGCAGACAAGAAGCAGCTGGACCAGTGGCTTCAACTGGGTCATTCTGACTGTGTGTGTGTGTCTCTCGGTGTATGTGCTTATCTGTGGATTAGAGAGAATGGTCACACCAACACTCGATATTCAGTGAGCAGTCACTACATACAAGGCGGTTCTCTGCCCCTGCCCTGTGTGTTCATCATCTATAGCCTTGTACAACGTGGTCCTCGCACCAACCCAACACCTGACCCCAGAGGTCTCTGTTGTCTCTTCTATGCCACTTCCCACTGTTCTGTGTTCTCTTTCTGTCCCGGCCACTCTGGTTGTTCTCTGCTGGTCCTCAGACACAGCCAGCCTCAGCCTTGCCTCAGCTCTGCAGTGCTTTCTTATGCATAGGCAGTTCCTCCCCCAGGCACCCGGGCAGCTCACTCTCCACTGGGAAGTCACCTTTTCAGCACACCGTCTCCCAAACACCTGATTAACAACCCCAGACCTACTGTATCTTGGTTTTAAAATGTCAGCTCTTTAGAAGAAGATAGTAAGGCTCCTTGGCAAAATGGCTGAGTCCGGGAAGGATGTAGTTAAGTAAAGTAAGCAAGCTGTGCTCCTATGTGATAGAAACTTGCTAATGGGAAACCGGGCTCAGGCTGCCTAAATCAGGGAATCCACTGGCTAAGTCAGAAATAACTGCAGTAAATGCTAGAAAGTATTTTAGACTACTGAATTCAAGAGCTATCGCATGAGGTCAGATTTATCTAAAATAGAAAATTTGGGGCCAGTGAGATGGCTCAGTGGATGAAGGCACTCACCACTAAGCCTGGCACCCTGGTAAAAGGAGAGTATGGATTCCCACAAGCTGTCCACTGGCCTCTACACTCACCACATGTGCGCACACACATGTGCTAACTAAATAAATGTGATTTTTTAATTAAAAAATCCAATAAGAAGTTTGTTCTTACATGAAGTCCCAACTAAAATGTAAAAAGCAGGGCAGTTAGGAAACCACCAGCAGGCAAACACCTAGTAACTGCTGCAAGTTCAAATCATGGAGGCCTATTAAAACGAGAGGGGGAGTAGAAGTCTAAACCCACAAATACACAGGCCACAGGGGCCACAGGGGCTTGCTAATTACAAAGGGCAAATACCAGCTTTCTTGCAGACGTGTGACAGAGTCCACCTTAACTCAGTGAGCCAAGCTTGCATCACATGCCCTTGAGACAGCGCAGAAACTGGCTCCCGCCACCTGCTGCATGACCTCTCCTTCTGATCGTGGTCCAGCAGCGAAAGACCCGAGTCAAGGGGAACTCTATGAACCAGCCTGCTGATGTCCTTTGACAGTGCCAAGGCCACAAGGCAACAAAGCCTAGGGAACCTTTCCAGAACAAATGAGACCAGGGTACATAAAAACAGATCCACCATGTGATCCTGGACTGGGTTCTGGACCAGGAAGTTGACATGAATGGACAACTGGAAGACTGCTAATGAAGTCTGTGGACTCCATGGCAGAGCAGCATTAACTTCCTGCTTGGCAAGCCACTACAGCTTTGTGAAAGCTTACCTTTGGCGAAAGTGAGTGGAAGGCCTTTTTTATGGTAATTCTTTATACTAGCTTTTCGACATCCCACTCCAAAATCACTTGAAAATTAAAATATATATATATATATATATATAAAGCTTTAGTAATGTTTCTTTTACAAATGTGAGTGCCCTTGTATTTGGGGCATAAATGTTCAGAATTGAGACTTCATCTTAATAGATTTTTCTTGTGATGAATATAAAATGTCCTTCATCTCTTTTGACTAATATTTCTTTGAAGTCTATTTTGTTAGCTATTACGATAGCTACACCAGCTTGCTTCTTTGGTCCATTTGATTGGAAAATCTTTTCCCAACCCTTTATTCTGAGGTTGAGATGGGGAACAGATTCCCAAATCTGTCTTTAAAGTTGAGATGTGTTTCTTGTATACAGTACAAAGGATGGATCCTGTTTTCGTATCCATTTTGTTAGCCTGTGTCTTTTTATTGGGGAATTGAGTCCATTGATATTAAAAGATGTAAATGACCAGTGATTGTTAATTCCTGTTATTTTTTTGTTTTGGTATCGGTGGTGGTAGTTGTGTGTGTTTCCCTTCTTTGTGTTTTGCTGGTGTGAGATTATCTATTGCCTCTGTTTCTGTGCGTACAGCTAACTTGAGGGAGCAGGTTGGGCGAGCTGGGTGTGGGAGGCAGGACAGGGTGAGAGTAATGAAAGAGACTTGATTTCAGGGTTAGGGAGAAACCTGGTGCTAAGGAAACTCCCAGGAATCCACAAGGATAACCCCAGCTAAGACTCCTAACAATAGTGGAAAAGGTGCCTGAACTGACCATCTACATTAGTCAGACTAATTGGTGACTGCCCTAATTGTTATCAGAGATACTCTATCCAGTAACTGATGGAAACAGATGCAGAGATCCACAGCCAAACACTGGGTTGAGCTCTGAGAGTCTAGCTGAGAAAAGGGAGGAGGGGTTGTATGAGCCAGGGGGTCTTGATGGGGGAATCCACAGAGACATCTGAGCTTGTGGGAGCTCACAGACTCTGAACCAACAGTTAGGGAGCCTGCATGTGACTGACCTAGGCCCTCTTCATGTGTGTGACGGTTGTGTAGCTTGGTCTCTTTGTAAGGCTCCTAGCAGTGAGATCAGGACCTGTCCCTGGCACTTGGCTGGCTTTTGGGAACCTGTTCCCTATGCTGGATTACCTTGCCCAGCCTTGACATAAGGGGAGGAACTGGGTCCTGCCTCAACTTGATGTGCCATGCTTTGTTCAAGCCCGTGGGAGGCCTGCCCCTTTCTGAATGGAGATGGAGGAGGGGAAAAGGAAGGGGAGAAGGGTAGATGGGAAGTGAAGGAGAGGACTGGGACAAAGGAGGGAGGGGTAACTTAGGTTGATATGTAAAATAAATGAAAAAAAAAGTTATTTAAATAAAATAAAAAACCCTAGCCTAGAACAATGCTGGATCCATATTAATATGCACTGCTATTTAAAGAACGTGGTTGGGAAGGTTTTACTTCCTCTGAGACTGCCTGCCTGGCCACCAGCCTCTCTCAGTGGCTGAACTTTAACAGTCCCAGGTAGAGGGCATGGAGTGGTCCCGAACCTGCAGTGGTCAAGGGGACTCAAGACTGGTAGACAGGGAGCGGCAGGGCTAAGTCAGGGTTGCAGACAGTGAGGAATCCTTCTGTAGCTTAAGACACATGTGCCCACAGGGTCAGTGGTGCAGATAAAAGGCAGACAGAGCCTGGCACGTTCCAGTGGGCCTGTGGGGGAGCTAAAGCCAAAGGTTCATCACGGGGCGAAAAGGCTTGTAGTAGAGAACTACCACTGACAGCCTGACCAACTCACCCAGGCCAGCAGTGTTTCCTTCTCAGCCACATGGTAAATGAGGCGCAGGGGCCGGGAGGTGCTATGGAGGCGAGCGTGCAGGCGGTGATACAAGTCGGACAGTCGCTGTCGCTCCTCCTCTCGGCTGTATGGGGCCTCTAGCTCAGGACTGCAACAGAGGGAGGCAGGGGCACTGTGAGTAAAGGGCCTGCCTCCCCTCGCAGTCTAGGGACTGTAATTAGGTTATGGGGCTCAGTCTCCCACATCAGACTTGAGGCTTTCCAGTGTTGTCAGCCAAGGTGCCCCCATTAAACTAGGAAGGAGAGCCTTTTCCCCACTAGAACAGAGAAGTGTCTGCTCCCCCTTTCTAGAGCATGGCTGCCTCTCTCTTTTAACTCATGCGTACAAGATG